TGCCTTATCTGGAATGTCCAGCAGCATATATATTCCTTACTTGGAATGTCTACCCTCTTTCTGTCTATTACAATATCTATCACATCTTTTTCAAATTTTATTGCCCTCTGTGCAGGCTTCCTGATTATAAATCTCATGATGGCCGTAATTGATATATGCCGTCTTGTTTTATCATTTATCATTTTATGTAGTGTTAGTCTTTCCAAATAAATTGTAATTCCTTTGACATTTGGAACTGTGGCTTATTATTTTTGTATACCATTGCATTTTAAAAAAGTGATTTGCAAATGCATATAGTTAATAAATACTGATTTTTGTAGACAATTTTTAATTTACCTAACTCTATTTTTAAGGTTGATATTACATGGATTTCCTTGAGAATAATTTATAGAGGATGTAGATTTACCATGGCTCCACTTCTCAGTCTATGGGTTAAAGCTTTTTCTTACTTTAAGAATCTATCATGAAGGGGGTGCCTGGTTGGCTCAATCAGAAGAGCATGTGACTATTGATCTTGGGGTTGTGAGTTTGAACCACATGTAACTGGGGTGTAGAAATTACTTAAAGAAGAAAAAAAGAATCTATTATGAAGATACTGGCATTTTTTCAACTATTCAACCCTAATTCTAATACAAAAAGATAGTTTATTGATTGATTTATAAGGAATGCCATTATTTAATCAATAATGGCCCTTATAGGAAATGAGTCTATGAAATATTATACCCTTCATGGGTTTCTTTAAAGTTATTATATCTATTCCAAATACATAAAAAAGTAAGACATCAAAATGAGATTGTTCAGCATCAGTGAATGCCATTTTATTTTCAAATTCCAGTCCTAAATGGAAATTGTAATTAGAAATGCTTATTATTTTTTTTCTAAATGAAATAAAGGCCTCATATTACTATCCACTTTCATTTTGTGTGTGTGTAACCAAAAATGGAGAGATTAACTAGGTGGTATCAAATGTATCAGTCCTGTCTACTTTTCTCTGAGCACAACTTTTGACACTACAAAACTTTAATTTTCTTCTGACATTTAGGTCCAAAATGAGACTGTTCGAGGTGGCTGTGGGTCAAGAACGATTACAAGAAACTCTGGATGTTAAATCACTAGAGCCATGATTAAGACATGACCTTAAATTTTAGTTCTCCAGGTTTTTCCTAATATGCACGTTTTAATGTATCTGTAGAGGTCAATTAGAGCAAATCTAGCCTTTGGGAAATATGTATTTTCTTTATATACTTTAACACCTGAATTATAGCAATGTGTCTAGTCACCAAAATGTCCATGAAAAATATGGTCTTGATTAATGGGTGAATTGATGTTTTTTACTGAATGAAAAATTAACCAAGTATTTTAACACAAATTAACTAATTAATTTCAGGCTCAATTTCATTTTATTACAATGAATAGGTTATTTATTATACCCATCAGCAAATCAGTGTAAAATTATCCAGAACTATATTTAACATATAAAGTGCTTATATCCTTCAAGTTTTGTCTTTTCTATATACTTTTCCTTAGAAAAGCAAATTTACTACAAAGACCAAAGATGGAAAGTATTTAAATAATAAGTGGCAGACATTTGTCAAACTGTCTGATATCCTTAAATTATTTTTAAGGCAATGAAGTCATCCCACAATTTGATACTGTCAATAATGTCAGTGTTCTATCCATACTGTACAATAAGCTCTTGGTAAGTGTTTATGCATTGTTCTGCCCTGTATTCATATTTTATCAGTTTAATTACAGGAGAAACAGAAGTGAGGGTGATGAGCCTTCACTTTTAGAAATTTACATTTTAATAGGTAGAGAAGTTAATATAATTAGCTATTATGTAAGTTTCACTCGTTTAATGAAAATGCCTACTGATTGGGGTGCCTGGGTGCCTCAGTTGGTTAAGTGACTGCCTTGGGCTCAGGTCATGATCCTGGAGTCCCAGGATCAAGTCCCGCATCGGGCTCCCTGCTCAGCGGGGAGTCTGCTTCTCCCTCTGACCCTCTTCCCTCTCGTGCTCTCTATCTCTCATTCTCTCCCTCTCAAACAAATAAATAAAATCTTTAAAAAAAAAAAAGAAAATGCCTACTGATCAAAGATACTTATTTGTTGATACCATAGAGGAGGCTATTAAAGAATGTTTTGTAAAGTTATTGATATTTTACTCTTGCTTTGAAGATAGAATATAGGCAGTCATGTGGACATGTGAGAAAGGGAGAGAAAAACAGAGGAAATAGCTTGAGTGAATCCATAGTGGCAGGAAAGTAAAAGAGTCCATGAAAAAGATGAGGGATGATTCATTGTGGTTGTCTGTAGCTGCAGAGCATTGGGAAAGAGTAATTGGAAATAAACATGGAAAGGCAAGTTTTCTTTCAATTAAAATTTGTATAATAATTAACTAATTGGGCTAAGCAAATCCGCTTTGAGGACTTTTGAAGCAGGCAGGTGAAATTAAACAGTTTTAGAAACTTATGCATGCAGAAGCCTAAGAAATACTTCATGGAAAGAGAGGTTGAAGAGATAAAAGTCAGAAAAAGAAATATAGAATCTGATATATCACTATCTCAGATTAAAACAAACATCTCACATTAAAATTAAGGAGTACATGTATTAGGGGAAAATTGTTTGAAATAAGAATGCAAGCAAATGATATTTCAGAGGCTATATCTCCAAGACTTGAAAATTGATTGATGATGCCCAAAAATGGACTATGAACAGTGAGCAACTTTTGGTGGAAGGGAAATGAATTTGGTTTGCACTCAGAAAGTTTGAAATTAAAATATGCTATCCAACTGAATTCTAGCTGAGGTTGGAAACCGCAGGACTAGATTTGGAAAAGCACATACTAAAGATCCACAGAGAAAAGGAAATGGGATAATATCTTAAAAGAGAAAGAAAAGGGAGGAAAGAAAGAAAAAGTGGAACAGAATGGCAATTCCCTTTTTATTTTCAACCATATAATGTCTTTTCTGCCTCCTTCCCTTCTATCTGTTAGGTATGCCCAGATCTTCCCCAATTTACAAAACCCCTGACCACATGCCCAGAATTGTGGATCCCCCAAACCTCAGCCATCTCTTCATATTCACGCTAACTGTAGGGACAGTCTTAATTTCCTTAACTTATGCAATTTGCCTCTGTTGACCCCATCTCACTTTAAATGCACCTGAGGGATTAGTTACTCTTCAGAAGGAAAAGTCCTCACTGGAACCGGCCTTCTTTATAGCTTTTAGATAACTCTCTTGCCCCTTGGTTCTACTAGTTTTCTTCCTATTCTATCTAACTTAACCTATTTCTCTCTGAAATATCAGACTGACTTGACCACTTGTTGACCCCTATAATGTGCCAAGCACTCTTTGAGAATTAAGGAATTATGAATAAAAATGGGCCCAGATTGAGGGAAGAGAAGAAAACCATGTAAGCCCGCCTGTTTCCGAAAGAGGTATCCTGGAAAAGAAGGAATTTATTATTTGATGATGGGGAGTACAAGGAAACGTATTTTAAAGAGCTTAAACATGTCCAACAAATCTTCCTTGATAAATATTTTCTTCTTTTCTCATGTTTTTGATTTTATATTTCATTTCTTTAAATGTTTTCAATATAGTTAAGTTACATTCTGAGTCTAATTCCATTTTTTGAAATTTTGTGGGTCTGTTTATCGTTTTGGATGTTTTAGTTGACTCTTGCTCACAGTGCCTTATTTCACCATGTTTTTTTATGACAGAATATGAGTTTAGGTTGAAGAGAGTTTAATTTATAAACATCTTGGGCAGTGTGGGCTAATGATACAGTTCCTCAGAAGGGGATTACATTTGTCCACCACTTAGCTGTCAGCCCTACATGGGGCACTGCTTTTTTGTTTAATTTCTCAGCTTGGAGGTTCCCAAAGAATATGTGTTTATAATTAAATTCCCAAACCTGGGATATGGCAGAGTGTGGTTAATCTGTTTAAATAGAAACATTTCCCCCCTCCACAGGCCAGGAGAATCAACTGTCTTTATCACTGCCCTTTTGCCAGTAGGATGATTTATTCTATACCCTTCTCATACTAAGGGTGAATTTTATTCTGCTCCAGTGTTATCTGGCGTTCAATAGCACCCACTTTCATAGACAAGTTTTGACCCCATCTTTGTGCAATCTGTGCACCTTTTGCTTACTATAATCCACAGATTTCTGGTATCACTTTATACTCTGATTTTTAGATTTTTCTTCATCCCCCCCCACCTTGGTGCTCCATTAATTTTCTGAAAGCTCAGCTATACGTATCTGGAAGTAAGGGATGAAGGGATGAGTTTTGGAATGCAGTCACACTATCTTGTCTACCATATTATTAGAAATATAAGTCTTTCAATTTGTATTAAAATATAATTCTAATTTTCTTCTAAACTTTTAGAATGTTCAGCTATTTTATTTCAAAATTTACAACAAACTTATTGAACATCTCCTCTCTTTTATTACCATTGTGCTGGTTCCTTCACGTAATTTATTTATCTTGTCAAAATAGTGTTCATTCACATTTCTTATGCAATGTTTTTCTTCTTTTCATGGAAATATTTTAGTAGGTAATCAAAATGTAGTTTATATTTTTATTGTTATGATGACAGTGTAAGATATACTCTTTCAAACAAGGCTCCAAATGTTGGGCAAACATTTTTTGTAGTTATTGCCCAATGTGGTAGCACATATATAACCAAGAATGTAAATATGGAAGTGAGTATGAATTCACTCATTTACATGACAAAGAAATTTCAACATGCTTTATTAAGTAAGTCCTGTATTTGGTCTGGTTCTGAGTTGCATACTAATGTAACAGACATAATGTTGTTAGATTGTATTTTATAATTAGAATGTATTTTATACAACTTTCATTTCTTTTTACAGGTAATAAAAATTTACAGGGAAAATAATTGCTATTTGGATCGTGTAGTTTATAGATCATGTAATAAAATCTTAGAATTCATGTTGAAAGCCATACTTAATTATGATTTAAATTTTTTTTTCAGCTCTTCTTCAAGTGACAATTTCACTTAGCAAAGTAGAGCTTAGTGTGGGCGAATCTAAATTCTTCACATGTACAGGTATGTATCAGATGTACAAGTATTCTCAGATGATAACTCGTGTTATGCTTTATTTAATATTATATACTGGCAAAATTTAGATGGTGAAAAACAATTCTCTGAAAATAAAACCTTATATTATCATTGGGCTTATGAGGTTGGGAAGTGTTAATAACTATATTTTGCATGTTAAAAAGTATGATTTTATTTCTGTTAATTTCAAGTTATTAATTTTGACTGTCAAACTAGCTCATTTATTTTGAAAATAATTATCAACTGTAATGTATGCACAATAACTTAAACAAATTCAAATATTATTCCTGTATAAATAGTAATATTAAGATGAATGTAAATATTATAACTGAATTACCTTCGTAAATATGCAGTGGATAAATTAGATATAGCACATTGCTCTATGTTACACCTGAATGAAAACTTTGGGACAAAGCAAATCAAATCCATCCTTATGAAAATTGAATTTAAAAAAAGTTGATATTTAATCAGCAAAACTTCTGCAAGAATTTTGTGACTATTAATCAAACTATTGTATATCGTAATACCTATGGGAAATTTTATGGACCTCATTTAGTTTGATCATGCACATGCAGAATTTTTTCAGAAGACATTTAAATACTTAAGCAACACATTCTAATTCAGAGTACTGTAGAGCTCACAAATGCACATATTCGACTTCTATTTATATTTATAAAATTCATTTTTATGCATACAAGCCTTCATACCTAAAGTTTTAAATAATGTTCATCTAGAGCCAAAATTGCCTTTTAGGGTATTTTAAAATTGTTGATGTTCCTGATTATGCTTAAGTAACACAAAACTGGATTAAATTAGGCATTTCTGACATAAAATGCATTATACAAGTCTTGAGAATTACATGGCTTATTTAAATTATTATTAAAATTAATAAAAACAGAAATAGTCATAACATTTATAAATCACATATGCCATATTATAATACACATACTATAGACATTATGTATGTATAATATCACATTTTATGAAAAACTCATAGAAGCCATGATTCTTCATATGTTTGCCTTCCTAAAGGTCTGAATTGATAGGTCTGTAGATACATATTTTTGCATATTGACAAATAGAAAGGCAGAGAGCAAATGAGATACTGATTCAACATCATTTATTATGTCAGCAGAGCTTTGGCATAAGAATGTAGATCATTGTTTTTAAATCTCATCCATATTTTATATACACAAATGCACACATGCACACACACAGCTCAATTGTGTCACATATTCACAGAATAATGAAGTAGTTTAAAAATGAATTTTGAAAAAATGAAATTGTTTTTCTTACATTTGTATATCACAATGATTTAGGTTGTATAAGTTATATAATATTATTACCTCTGTAATAGGTCAAATTAAGACATAATTTAAAATTTAAAAGAATGAATTAACATCATTTAGTGTACTAAGTTTTGCTGGTAAAATAAGGCAAAATAATGAAACATTTTCTTTTCCTTATATACAAGAGCCATATTGTTGTCATGTAAGTGGCCTTATATATATGAAATAGAGTAGTAAAACAAGATCTAAAAAAAAGATGTACGAAACCCCTGCAAATCAGAATGCTTTCATGTATTTTTCCTGCTACAACGCTGACCAAGTTGCTATGACTCTGAAGTTTCCTGATACACTAAAACATAGACATCTAAACTCAATAAAATAAATGTCTTAAATTTACACCATCAGGTGGTCAGACCCTCACAGAGCTAATAAGAGTATGTCATAAATAGCAAATGAATTTGTATACCACATTTTTAAGAAAATAAAAATTTTACTGTTATTTATCAGTATCTCCAGTAGTCTAGTCTTAATAAAATTTTCCCCTGATACTTTTGAGTTAATAGTGTATACTGCTTCCACAAATTATCTCTCAAGTAATTAGGTGAAATACATCCTTTTGGTGAGTAAAAGCAAACATTGGAAGCTTCAGCTTTTACGAAGAGTATAATAACCTGGATTTTGAATTGAGAAAAATAAATGTTTACCCTGTAATGATTTGGTTGTAATTGCCTAGCAGTATAAGTATCATTTCAATGCATTCTAATTATCATATGATTAAATAGTTAACAGTTTTAAATTAAAATGATGAAACACTTCATTTCAGTTGAGAAAAGAGATTAGGGCTCCTTTTTAAAAAATAAATTAGCTTTATCTGTACAAGTTTAACAACTTAGGAAATTAATTCCAAATTCGATATTATCAAAGCCAAAGTTTATTTTGTATAGGATTTACATTGTTATAAGCTTTGCTTTATCGGAGAGAAAAGTCCTATCTCCTGACCCTGGCAAAGATAATTGGGAACAGGTGAAATCATGTTAGTAATCATGTTTCTGTTCAGATATATCAATCACATTTAATTTATGTCTGACTCAGTGGCCAAGGCAGTTTTATAACTTAACTGTAGTAATAATTCATAGATTGCTATGATAAAGTTTCAACTATCAGAGCTTAAATACCATACTGTTAGTTTCCTGTAGAACTTTTGGGTTTTGCTTACGCAAACAGGACTGAATTCTCAACATTGGATAAATAAGGATGAGCATGTGTGCTAACATTTGTGTTTACTTTCAATTTTGTAAGATTTTTCAGTTTACAGCCTTCTCTTATTTACATTTTTCCCCAAAATTGTTAAAAGTTGTCACATAATAGTAAATGTCAATGCCAAAACAAACATTTGAAACATATTTTCAAACATTTATTTTTCATGGCTATTTGCAGCAATTGGTGAACCTGAGAGTATAGATTGGTATAATCCTCAAGGAGAGAAGATAATTTCAACACAGAGGGTAGCAGTGCAAAAGGAAGGTGTTAGATCACGATTAACCATCTACAACGCAAATATAGAGGATGCAGGGATATATCGTTGTCAAGCAACAGATGCCAAAGGACAGACACAAGAAGCTACAGTTGTTTTGGAAATTTACCGTAAGTCATGCATTTATTAGTTGATTGAAATGTGGTTGTATAAAAACTCGAACAAAAAAATGCATTTAGGGGCACCTGGGAGGTGCAGTCGGTTAAGCGGCTGCCTTCGGCTCAGACCATGATCCCAGGGTCCTGGGATCAAGCCCCACGTCGGGCTCCTTGCTCAGCGGGGAGCCTGCTTCTCCCCTGCCTGCCGTCCACCCTCTTTGTGCTTGCTGTCTCTTTCTCTCTCTAGCTCTCTCTGTGTCAAATAAATAAATAAAATCTTTAAAAAATGCATTTAATAAAAACTAACATTCATGAAGAACTATGTGCTAGGCAATGTCCTAAGACCATTACAAATATCAACTTATTTATACTTTACCAGAGTTCATCTCTAAAATAGAATAGATAATAGGAAAGAGTTTATTATAAACACATAGAAGGAGCCAATTCTGTTGGTTAAACAACAGAGATGAAAATGTTTTAATATTCTCAAGCCATTAAAAATCTGTTGGGTAACTAAAGAACAGTAGATTATTATGAAATTTATAGGGAGTACTTTTTCACACTAAAATAAAAGGTCAGGATGAGAACAAATGAAATTACATATATGATAGCAGCGACCAGTCTAGAATGAGAATTGAGGAAGGGTCAGTGAACAGGAGTAGACACAGAAAAAAATGAAAACTCATCTAGTGGAGAACAATATCTAGCTGGATTCTTCACCATCAGAATATTCATTAATAGAGTTTTCCACACTTACACTTCATCTTATGACTTGAGATTGACTGCTTTCTACATTCCTTCTCCCTTCTTACATTTAGGAATCATTAGCCTTTTTTTTTTTTTTAAGATTTATTTATTTATTTTTTAGAGAGAAATGTCAGGGGGCAGACAGAGTGGGAGAGACAGTCTTAAGCAGACTCCTTGCTGACCAGGAAGCCTGACACAGGGCTGAGCAAGGAGCCGGATGCAGGGCTGGATCATGACCTGAGCCTACACCAAGAGTCAAACAGTTCACTGACTGCACCACCAGGCACCCCAGGAATCATGAACCTATTTAAGCACACATTAAAGCCTGTTGACTCCCTAGGCTTGAAACCAGGCTCTATTACTTATTTTTGTGGCTTTGAGCAAATGCCTAACCTCTCTGTCTTTGATTTTGTCAGCTCAGTCGGTTAAGCCGCTGCCTTCGGCTCAGGTCATGATCCCAGGATCCTGGGATCGATTCCCACACCGGGCTCCTTGCTCGGCGGGGAGCCTGCTTCTCCCTCTGCCTGCCTCTCCCACTGCTTGTGTTCTGTCTCTCTCTCTGACAAATAAATAAATTCTTAAAAAAAAATAATAATAATATTACCTACCTCATACGTAGAGTTGTTTTGAGCACTACATTAATCAATATTATATAAAGTGCCCTAGAACAATGCCTTACAATTAATATGTGATAGTATTTCTACCCATATTAATGAAAAATATGTGAAAAAATATAAAAATTTTAAAATACTAACTCAAGGAATCTCTTCCTGACAGCTTTATTATTATTATTATTATTATTATTATCATTGTAGAAACATGACATGAAAAAAAAGGCAAAGCATTCCCACAACATGACTTCCTCTTTGATGCCCAGTGCAATTTGTTGGCACATACTGCCCTCATTTTTCCTGACTTTGCCCTTACTCCTGTTAATTTCAAATTTCCTTAAGAAAAGATAGTGTAACTATATCCCTACAGTACCTATTTCATAAATAGAAAAAAATTAAATTGAAGTGATCATTTCCTAGACATAGTATTTGGAAAGACTTTGCATTGCTTTGAATGATGAAAAGGAAGGTGCCTGGTGTTTTGTTTGTAAACTAAAGAAATGGCTTTTTTCCCCACAAGAATAATGAATTACTTTTGTGAAAATTTCTCAACAAGCATAAATATCCAAGTTCATTCATTCATTCGACACACTTATTGGGTGTCTACTAATGACAGGCAATATTCCGAGTCCTGGACACTCAGTAAAACAGAAAATGTCACTGGCCACTTGGTGCTTATTATTTTATTGAGTAAAGAAAGACAAACAATGAATGAACTTAGAAAAACACATGGATACTAGATATACACGCTATAGAATTCTGTAGTGAATAAAGTTAGTGTGGTAAAGAGAGGGAGAGTTGAATTGGGAAGGGAGAAGGTTATTTTATCTGTGAAGGTGGAGCAGAAATCTGAAGGCATTCAAAAGAGCACAAGGCCTGAGGATGAGAACCAACCTGGAGTGTTCAAGGGATTGCAAAGAAGACAGTTTGTCTGGATCACAGGGACTAGGAAAAGAAAGAAGAAATTGGGATCAGAGTTGTGGGGCTGATTCCAGTTCACTCAGGACCTAGTATGGCATTGTGAGGACTTTGAAATTAATTCTCAGTGAGATGGGAAGCTCTCAAGTAGAGGAATTATGTTATCTGGCCTAAGGTTTTAAAAGATCTAGAGTTAATGATTTTATCATCTCATCAATCAGCACATATTTTGGAGTATGTTACTGGGAAAAGTGAGCAATAATACTTTTGTGGTTTGTTTTACTTTCTTGATACAGAAAAACTCACTTTCAAAGAAGTGGTATCACCTCAAGAATTCAAACAAGGAGAGGATGCAGAAGTGGTTTGCCGAGTTAGCAGCTCACCTGCCCCTGTTGTCAGCTGGTTGCATCATAATGAGGAAGTCACCGCTATTTCCGACAGTTAGTATTTTGGTAACTCCCTAAATTATATGTTCTCATAATATTGCAATTTTTAAAAATGCTGAATCTACCTGACTGCATATAGAAATTTTATTTTTTGGATCCCAAGCATCAAACAACTGTTTTGAGAACCTTACAGCTCTAAAGTAGGAGTTGGCAAACCACGGACCTCAGGCTGAGTTCAGCCCCTGTGCTGTCTTTGTATGGTCATGAGATTACAGCCAAACCCGACCGTTACATAGTGTCCATGGCCACTTTGGGGACAGGGTTGAGCAGCTGTGACACAGATGGTGTGGCCTACAAAGCCTGCAATACTTATCATTTGGAGATTTACGGAAAAAGTTTGCTGACCCCATCCTATTCAAGAAAATTTTGTACAAACACTATAAAGATAATAAGTAAATGAAGGAATCAATCCTGATGCATTCAAATTCTACATGTTACAGTTCAAACATCATCCCCTGGGCTCATCTATGTAATCTTAAAATAATATCTATATGAACCCTGTTTATTATTCTGGCACTGTTCTTTCAAAAACACCTACATGCTCTAAATATTATGCTAAGATGCATATGGATAATGGACAGAAAAGTACATTCATTCAAATTGTCTTCATAATTTTGATTCAGACTGAGCTAAAATTCCAGAATAATATGACATCTGAAACTGAAAGCATAATTTGCTTACATTATGCTACTTTACCATTGTGCATTGGGAGCATTTTCAATTTTCAATGCACCTGCATTGCAGAGAGTTATGAAATAATTGAATCTTTTCAAATACTTTCCTTCTTGGATGATTCTGTTGTGTGTTTCTAAGAGCTAAAACGTATAGCATAAAGGAGAGAAAGCAGATAGTATCTATTTTTGAATATGTACAGAGAACATATCATAATCATGTTTAATAGTCATTTTTTAAATTTTGAGACAATTTTTCTCAGCATTTTCAGCGCTTATCACTTATTGACTATCTCTCTTTTTTCTATTATAATAAGTTAGTGAGAAATAATACTTTATTTCCTCTTATTTTATTTCAGGATAACTGCCTTATATTTCATTAACATATCACATGAGTACATTGTGCAATTATTTTCAGCTATTTTTCCCTCAATAGTAAAGAAAAGGCAGTTCTTTTATAGCAGTTAAATGACAATGTCTAAACATTTTCAGATTGCCTCATCTTAGGCTTCAAGTGTACATCTGGTTTATTGTAAACCTTAATTACATGAAGGTTTTCAAATGAATTATAGTTTTTAAAAGACACAGAGAACAAAAGCCTCAAAGCAGAGATTGATAGTCAAGTGTGATGGTGATGGAGGAGCGTTACTCTGTGCTACAGCTCACACATGTTTTCCCAGTATCCAGGGATGAGATGATTTCAAGCTGGAATGCCATTATGGCTCTACTCCTTTCCTTGGCCCGGAAGCTTTGAATTTTCTAACTGCTCTGTATCTAATTCAGATTCTCTCTCTGTAAACAGTGGGTTATTATCTCCAATTTCAACAATAGTTGTGAGTTTCAAATAAGACTTGAGGCACATAATAAATATTTGTTAAATGAATGAATTAAGTATTTGCGTGTATATCAGTTTCTCAACACAATGACATTTATCTTTCTCCTTCCTTCTCACTGAGTTTTTAAATTTTGAGAATCAGTGTTACCAGAATTATATGCACTCAGGTTATATCTAGAATAAAAATAAATCCAATGCAAGGGGAAGTGACTAGTCTAGAGTAAGCATGAAACCTAGCTCTGAGTTGCAGGGCAAGGAAAGAAGAAAAATGATGTAATTATATTTTTCCTTTTTAACTCTAGGATATAAAGAATTTAGGTGAATTGTGAGGAAGGACAAACTTTTCTAACCTTTTAATATTGGAGGAACTCACCACATAGTTCATTGTTGAACAATTTGTACATTGATAATGGATTTATAAGAAATAATATTCTTCACCTGATTATACCTGATGGCCCCTTTATTTGAACTAATGGAATAAGATTAAGTTTATAACTATGAAAGGAACATGTAAGGGGACTTAGAATAATGTAGTGTGTCCAGGTAACTTTCTGAAGCCTTAATGTGGTACGTGAGTAGTTTGCAGGCTCCAGATGATATAATGAAGTTTTGGAACTGTCCATCTTATTAGCCATGCTTTTGGTAGCAGCTGTATGGCAGATATTTATAATTAAAATTCCAATAGGACATTTGAAGTGGAGGTTTTCCGTGTTGCTTGTTGAAGGGAAGACACCTGCTAAAAAATCCAAACATTTAGGGAGTAAAGATGACATTTTGTTACAAAGGTTGAATATCCCAGTTGGAGGGATATGCTATTGTAGATGCTCATTCAATCTCAGCCAGTTTGAAAGTCATCTCTAAAATATTCTAAATGCGGGCACCTGGGTGGCTCAGATGGTTAAGCGTCTGCCTTCGGCTCAGGTCATGATCCCAGGGTCCTGGGATCGAGTCCCGCATTGGGTTCCCTGCTCCTTGGGAACAGGGAGCTTCTCCTTCTGCCTCTCTCTCTCTCTGTTTCTCATGAATAAATAAATAAAATCTTAAAAAATAAAATAAAATATTCTAAATGCTTTGATCATTGCCTAATGAAGTACCCTGTTTGCATCAAAAACTATGGATAAAATAATCTTGTTCAACATTTTTTTATGTTATCTACTTCCAGTATAAAAATTCATTCAATTTTTAACTAGTTGTTGAAAACCTAGTTTTCTAGGTTTTCATATGCCATCTAGCATACTGGATGGTGGGTAGTCCTAGTTAACAAGATAAACAAGTTTATTGCCTTCAAACGGCTAATAACCTAGTAGAAAAAGATTAATAAAGAAACCAGTGAAAACAAGGAATATTGAGGTCTATGAGAAGGAAAGTGCAATGATAGAGGATGATAAAAAAATAACGTCTCATCTAGTTAGGGCAGGGGAGGGTGTCCAAGATGCCTGCTGAAGAGAGAAGTAACCCTTAAATATGAAAAGGGGTTAGCCAGGTAAAGAGTGGTGGGGACTTTTCAGGAGGGGAAAAACACCATCTGCAGCGGCCCGGAGGTGAAAGACACCAGGAGTGGTGCTTTCCAGAAAATAGAATTAGTTCATTATAATGAGAATTTATGAATAAGTGCAACTAGAATACTTATACTACTAGATAAATATAAACCAGGATTGATCATAAAGGACTAATAAGAGAGGAAACTGGAAAGGAAGTTTGAGCCAAGTCATTATGGCCTTGACATCTCTGCAAAGGAATCTGGAATTTATCCAAAGGGAACATCACTAAAGGATTTAATCAAGGCAGTGACATGACCTGATATGAATTTGAGAAGGCTATTATTGCTTCAGTGAGGAGAATGAATTGGATGGTGGTCAAGGCAAAACTCCAGGCACTGATAACAATTCAAACCCTAATGAAATAATTGCTGAAGGAGAAGGAGATTTAGACTAAGTAATTGGTAAAGGGGGAAGTGACAGGACATGGGGTTTGATTGGGTATGCAGATGGAGAGAGATGGAGAAGTTAAGGATGACTCAAGGAATTTGACTTGGGCATATAGTTCAATGTAAAGACATGTGAACACAGAACTGGAGAGACCATATGAGAAATTTCAGGGGGAGATAGTAAACTAAACTTTAAATCTACTGAGATTAAAGTACTTACAATCCTTCTCAGTAGCTATATCTGGTCTACCGTTAAAAACTTTTATGGTCATGTAATGGCCTGATCTGAAGAAAAATTGTGTCTCAAAATATAGATGGTGCTTGAAGCCAAAAGAGTAAATGAGACCAACCATCAGTGGCTGGGGAATGAGAAGAATAGAGGGCTAGAAAAAATATGTCTCTAGAAGCATAAAGCAGATCGCTTATTGAGTATTACTTTATTTCATTTATTTTTCTGAATGCAATGAAAACTGGGGTTTTAATAATGAAAGTCCTATATAATTGAGAGAACAAATAATCTCTGATAATCAAATAGTTCTAATATCCATAGCTATGTCTGATTGACTGAAGCGGTGCTTTCTTCAAATGTTTTCTGCCATTTGATAGTTTACTAACATCATTCCATGGACTTTACATACATACCTAGAATTTGACATGTGATTTTCATGTAGTTTGTTTTCTGTTTAGAAACATCGATATGTATTTAGATTTAGCAGATAACTACTGATTTCCTAATATTCTAATAGTTTTCTCTCAGCTGGTAAAAGTAATATATTAAAATGGCCATTTGAAACTAAAATTTTACTATTAGAAGAAACACTGATTTATTCCCATCAAATTATGTATTATATGCATTCAAATTATTTTCATTTTAATATCAAGTATTGCCTTCCTGATTAAAATAATTCTTCCCATTACTATTTTTTGACTAAATACACTATAACCATTAAACAACATTAGAGTTAAAGGATAATACATATTTTAGTAATTTAAAAATATAATATTATGGTGATCAAGGTATGATTATGTGCATCCCTCTCTAAATTTGAACTTCTTAAATTGATAATTGCTTCCCACCCTAATTTCCAGCCACATGCTTAAATAGATCTTTTAATTGACCTTGAAACATTCTAAATTTTTACAAGTTCTGAGTTACTCCAGGACTTCTTGTGAGTTTAAATTTAAAATTTCTTGCAGATTCTGTTTCTCCAGGCTTTTCTTGGAGAAAAGGAAAATTTACCAGGGGAAAGCATCTTCATGAACATTTGTGTCTCTCTTCTTAGGGTCAACCTAAAGAAGAAATAAACATGATGGGAAAGCTTGTGGAGTAGTCCCCCCTTGTCCACAGGGGATACATTTCAAGACCCCTAGTGGATGCTTAAAACCACAAATAGTTCCAAACCCTATACTGTTTTTCCTAAAAAAAAAAAAAAAAATACCAATGATAAAGTTTAATTTATACCATAAGCATTTAATTTATAAATTAAGAGATTAACGACAATTGCTAACAATAAAATAGAACAATTATACAAATATAATAAAAGTTGTGTGAATGTGGCCACTCTCAATTTAGCTTATTGTACTGTACTCACCTTTTTTCCTTTTATGACATGACACAATGCCTAGGCGATGAGATGCAATGAGGTGATGTAGGGTTAGGCTACTCTTGACCTCTGATAAAATGTCAGAAGGAGGATCATCTGCTTCCAATCCACGGTTGACCACAGGCAAATGAAACTGCAGAAGGCAAAACTGTGGATAAGGATGAGGGGAGGCTACTGTACTTCTTGAGCTGAAAATCATGTCCATTGCTTTATAATCAATATTTTCTATTTCTGGTATCCTCTGAATCTACATATTTCCACTCTTTGTTAATTATCTCTTGCTTACCTATAGGAAGCATAATCCTCCCATAGCCTGATCACTCTCCTATTTGTATTTGCAGCCCCAACTAGAACTGGTATGGCATTTAGGAATTGCATTAAGGACTTGCTATGGAAGATGAACTCCAAATCTGAATTGAACCCTGAACTGCCTGATATCGTAGCAGTTTATTTCTCAGTTACATGAAGTCTGATTGGTAGCAGGGGTAGGGGTAAGATTGTACCCCATGCATTCATTCAGTGCTCTAGACTGAGGGATGATCTATCTTTTTCTTGTGTGGTTTCCATGTTTGCCCTAACTGATCAAACCAGCAGATAGGGGAAGAGCAGTAAACACTAGAATAGGTCCAAAAAGTAACCTTTAATGGTATAACAGTAAATATCCCAGAGATGAACACCTTAAACTAATGGCATTTCTACTTTACTAAAAGGTCCAAGGGTGTCGAGGATGTATCTCTCTTATCTACCAGAGTATCTCAAATACTGTATATACCAAATAAATGATGTTCAATGATGTATTAATTAATGAAATTGAAGGCATTGCTTTTGCAACCTGTTTTAAAATAGGACTAGAGTTCAGACCGTTCTTTATTTGATAAGAAGGGAAAAGGTCTTAACACTGCAACAAAATTGTGATGATTAAAAACTCAAACCAGACATTGTGGAAACACTGTCAGGCTGAAATGGTGCCTAGGCTAGCCAGGTTATCTTAAGCAATCAACTAATGCATGCCCTGCAACAGCTTATTTTTAATGTATATTCATGTGCATATACTCACACCTAAGATGGAATCTTGAAATAAAATTAAGTCTAATCTGTTCATTCCTAAAGTGGATTATCTGCATTTAGAAAAAAAATTCAAATAAATTTGAGATATGGCCATTTTATATGTCCTCTATGTGGCTTGAATATTATTGTACCATTTAGCTGCCTCCTCAGAGTATGCAAAATTATTAGTTTAATTATTGTGTGAGGAAGGCTGTTCAATCAATTTTCTAACCCTTTTCCATACTCAAGTTGCTACATATTTGCAGTCAAAATGTCTTCATGTCTGTAATATCTAATCTCGCAGCATTGTTCTTTTGTGTATCATTTCTGCATTCAAAGTACCAAGGGGAAAATAATAGCCTAAGCATTTTATGTGGAAATAAAGTCTTGAATGTGTTTTAGAAAAAAGGTGTAACAAGGCAGTGTGGAGTGGAAAAATTGAAGCCATGAAATTACATTTTACTTTCAAATTTGAATTTGTTTGTTGATGAAAAGTTTGATAGTGTCAGACAAGTGCCATATTTTAAGTCTTAGCCATTTAGAGCACACCGGACTCTGCTTTCAATTACTGATATCATTTCCTCCCCTTTGCTTACTTTCCAGATCGATTTGCTATGCTAGCCAACAATAATCTGCAGATTCTCAACATCAATAAAAGCGATGAAGGTATATACAGGTGTGAAGGAAGAGTGGAGGCTAGGGGAGAAATTGACTTCCGTGATATCATCGTTATTGTTAATGGTAAGCAGAGAATAATTTGTACCTCTTTTATTATTGCATGTTAGCAATATATTGATTTGTAGCCATGCAAATACAGCACTCTGATACACCTCTTCTCAACCTCGAGGAAATCTCCTGACCTCAGTGATAGCATCTATTACATTGTGTATAGCCTCAAGGGCAGGATGCGTGGCTTATTCAACACCATCACCTTTTTTTACAGAGTCTTGAAAGAGAGTAGTTGCCTTTTGCTGGTTTTGTAGTTGTTGAAAGAATGCCAAGTGAAACATAGTAAAGTATCATACTAGATTTTACTTTTAAATTGCATGAATCACTTGTTGCTTAAACTAATCTATTTAACAGTTTTGTAGGTTTTCTCAAATTTAAAATTAATAATTGATTCCACAAGGAGATTAATAACTAAGTTTATGGCATCACAATGACATTTCTTCCAAACTTGGCTTCTCCTGCTTTATTTCTTGCCTGTGATAACATGACATTCTGTGAGCCCAGACGATATTTTAATGTTGTCCTGGTTGTCTCTATTTTGGTAATCTAATCTGTTAATGACATGTGCACCACATGTTTTTAACAACTCTCAAATATATTCTACCATGATGCTCTCCGTAGGAGTGCAGCCCTTTTAAATTGTTTTTTCTTTTTCTTTTTCTTGAATTGCTACAAGTTGTTTCCTCTACTCTCAGGCTCATAATTTCAACTTCTTGTCCATCCAACCTCTCAACAGTAAATTTGTCAATGATTCCCATTACCTTCGAGACAAAGTCAAGACTGCTTTTCTTGGCATTGGAAGCCTTTTTTTTTTTAATTTTTTAATTGTTATGTTAATCACCATATATTACATAATTTGTTTTGGTGTAGTGTTCCATGATTCATTGTTCATAACACCCAGTGCTCCATGCAGAATGTGCCCTCTTTAATACCCATCACCAGGCTAACCCATCCCCCTACCCTCCTCCCCTCTAGAAACCTCAGTTTGTTTTTCAGAGTCCATCATCTCTCCTGGTTCGTCTCCCCATCTGACTTACTCCCCTTCATTCTTCCTCTCCTGCAATCTTCTTCTTTTTCTTTTTTCTTAAAATATGTTGCGTTATTTGTTTCAGAAGTACAGATCTGTGATTCAACAGTCTTACACAATTCACAGCGCTCACGATAGCACATATCTTCCCCAATGTCTATCACCCAGCCACCCCATCCCTCCCACCCCCGACCACCCCAGCAACCCTCAGTTTGTTCCTGAGATTAAGAATTCCTCATATCAGTGAGGTCATATGATACATGTCTTTCTCTGATTGACTTATTTCGCTCAGCATAACACCCTCCAGTTCCATCCACGTCATTGCAAATGGCAAGATCTCATTCCTTTTGATGGCTGCATAATATTCCATTGTGTATATATACCACATCTTCTTTATCCATTCATCTGTCGATGGACATCTTGGCTCTTTCCACAGTTTGGCTATTGTGGACATTGCTGCTATAAACATTGGGGTGCACGTACCCCTTCGGGTCCCTACATTTGTATCTTTGGGGTAAATACCCAGTAGTGCAATTGCTGGATCGAATGGTAGCTCTAATTTCAACTGTTTGAGGAACCTCCATACTGTTTTCCGGAGTGGCTGCATCAGCTTGCATTCCCACCAACAGTGTAAGAAGGTTCCCCTTTCTCTGCATCCTTGCCAACACTTGTTGTTTCCTGACTTGTTAATTTTATCCAGAAATCTTACTATTTGCAACAACATGGGTGGAACTGGAGGGTGTTATGCTGAGTGAAATAAGTCAATCAGAGAAAGACAATTATCATATGGATTCACTCATACGTGGAATTTAAGAAACAAAACAGAGGATCATAGGAGAAGGGAGGGAAAAATAAAACAAGACGAAATCAGAGAGGGAGACAAACCATTAGAGACTCCTAATCATAGGATACAAACTGAGGGTTGCTGTGGGGGAGAGTGGGAGGATGGTGTAACTGGGTGATGGGCATTAAGGAAGGCACATGATGTAATGAGCACTTGGTGTTGTATGCAATTGAGGAATAACTGAACTCTACATCTGAAACTAATGATGTACTATATGTTATTTAATTGAATTTAAATAAAATAGGAAAATATAAATAAATATAAAAGTTCGTTGGTCTTTTACTACCTGCAGCAAAGGTAGTTTGACCACAAAGTTCATGCTGAAAGAGAAAGACAGTATGAGAACACTGCTATCTTTTTCTCTCCTTCTCTAAGTCTGTAATTAATGGAGATTTGTGGATAATATAATGGAATAGACCAGACAGTATGACTTGGAAACCAGGCAGGCTGGTAGAAATTGCACATGCTTATGGAGGAGGCCAAAGGGTCAGGCCTTCAGAAGCGAAGTTTTTCTTTTTTAGAAGTGCAGAGTCTAGTATTTATTACGAGTACACAGTCAGAGGTTTTGACCTTCAACACATGGGGAAGATTTCAGTGCATGAACAATAGGTTTAAAATGGAAGCATGTATCTATATATGTATCTTCATCTATTTCTATTACCAATAAGCATCTCTAAACTATTTCCGTCTATTATATACAGTAAACAGATAACTTACACTATTTAGTTTAACTATTGACAACTCTCTACTGTGCTTTATTTCCAAAATAATTTATGTTGGCATATAAAAGTGTATTTTGTCACAGAAAAATCATTGTGCTGAGTGTTCTTTTATAAAAATGGGGATTATAATATTAGTTTTTAATGTAAAGTTTTGGAGGCAGTATATAAATATTTATTATTATATGTTTTATGCATGTCAAATTATGCACATACTTTTGCACTAAAACAGTAACTCAAGTCTGATATTAAAAAGGAAGTGTTGGCTTACCTGGGTAGCTCAGTTGGTAAGCGTCTGCCTTTGGCTCAGGTCATGGTCCCACTGGGGTCCTGGGATCAAGCCCTGCATCAGGCTCTTTGCTCAGCAGAGAGCCTGCTTCTCCATCTGCCTGCCGCTCTTCCTGCTTGTGCTTTCTCTCTTTCTCTGATAAATAAATAAGTAAAATCTTAAAAAAAAAAAAAGAAAAAAAGGAACTCTTATCGAGCAGACATAGCATGTTCACCCTTCATTAACTATTTTGCTATTATAACTTCTACCTTAATATATTTAATAAGTGTTCTAATCTGTTTCCATACTAGTTTATCTGTGAATGTTTATACATGATTATATTTATTTTGAAGGAAGCATTTTTTGGGTATGAGTGTCTTAATTTAACAAAGTTTGAATATTCAAGTCCATCATGGTGTGCACTCAAACTGGAATATTTAGTTCTGTATGTCTATTCCTATTATGTCAGGATTCACAAGTAGATAACATGGGATTGTGTTCTTTTGTGCCACTCAAATCAATCACGTAGGTGGTTTTCTTTTCTGTCTGCATCACACTGAGCCTCCCAAAGGCAAATCATTCTCCTTCCACATCCCAATTTCCTCTAACAGAATCAACTACAGATCTTAATCTGACCTTTGCTAGAACACTGCTTTATCTCCACTTCCTCTAATTAGTCACATTTCCCCTTTATGGTCACAAAACTCTCATACCTTAGAATTCCTGGTACCACTTTTCTTCAAAATAACAGTGTTCACAAAAATCAACCATTGATTTATTCCCCTTCTGATGCAGTTGGATCCTGTCAAGGGAATGCATTGACTAATGCCACCGGTTCATTTGTGCTTTGCTCTCACATTCTGCCTTTACTTCAGGCAGAAAAATCATTCTGCTCCAGTGTTATTGACTTTTGTGTGGCTTACTGGAGACCAGCTCCTTTTAAATTTTGAACTCTCCTTAAAAGTATCCCCCTACTAGTTTTCTCCTATAAAACCTCTCAAAGACATTTCAATGAAAAGTTCAAGGATGCAAAAAATAATAATAAAAGCAATAGCTTTATCCACATTATCTTATCTTACCTCAGTGACAAATTTGACTTGCTCTATGACCTTTTCCTCAACTTATGTTGTAAGCCCTCTCTCTTAATTGCGACTGATTTTTATCCTGACTGATTTGGATTTTATCCTGGACCTCCTTTACTTGTCTCCTTCCCCCTCAAGTACACTGGAATCCTGACCAAAGGCTCCAGGCAACTATTTATGGACATTTCACTACTTCCTTGTAAAATCTTGGCTCTGGAAGAAGTTCTGCTCTTTCTTTTATTTTTTGCTCTTTGAAATCTTTTCCCTCACATTTCCTTTCTTCCAGTTCATACCCTTTTGTTTCAATAATTAGTCAAAGGATATTTTTGCTAGGTTCCTCTGTGGTACCAATAATACTAAATGTTAGGGATATTTTTTTTCTTATCTCCGTCTATTACTTTCTTACTATATTTCTCAATGCCTTTGTATAGTTTTTCACAAATACTTATCTCTCCTCCTTTGAAGAGGTTATATGTCACTGCTCATTGACATGTGGATTATGGTGCTTCCAGGGGAAGAGTTGTGCATCCCCACCCAACTGATGACAAGACTTCTTCTGGCCAATGGCTTATAAACAAACACAGTATACACTATGATTGAAATCATAGAAGAATCACATGTTTTTTATCATGTTCTTTCCTTCTGACATGAAACTAGCATGACACAAGAAGAGACTTCTCCTTCACCTTGGACACCATGATGAAGACAGGTGCAGCAGGGTCCCAGCTGATCTGCAGGTGCAGACACATAACATAAATAAGAAGTAAAGAACATTTTTTAAGCCCTGAAATTTAAGAGTCATTTGTTATCACAGAAAAGCAGACAAATGCAATGCCAGTGGCTTTTTCCTACTTAAAATAAGCAAATTAGATACTGTCTGACCTAGGTGTACTTCTGAATTTACTTCCCTGAGTATGGTACAGACATCTTATAAATCCTACTTTCCCTGATGGTGATCATTTCTTATGACTTTTTTATCACCTTATCTCAAAATATTGGAATTTCAACTGAAGACTTTTGACTGCAGTTTCAATATTAATTTATATTGCATTAAACAGGTGCATATGAAGTG